CGGGCGCTGTCGGAGGTGCTGGGCGCGACTGGTGCCGAGACCTCGCACGCGGGCGCGGACAGGCGCTGCTGGCGCGCTGTCGCGGGCACTGGTACTGCGGGTACCCCGCGCACGCTGGCGCGGGCACGGACAGACTCGGGCCGGCACTGCCGCGCTGCATGTGCGGCCAGTGACCAAGGCCGGCCCTTGCCGGACCTCCGGCTACTTTTTCTGGTGACATGCATGACATGTGAACTTAGCATGATAAAATAGGCACAAAAATGCTATGAAACACTAGTGGACCCCGGGTCCATTTGCATGTTCACTCGATAGAGCCTAAATGGCACGTACGAGCACTTGACATCCGAACCAACATTCATAACTTACAAAACTACTCAGGACCGAATGTTATACATCACAAATGATGACTATAATGGCTAACACTTAGGTCATATCATGCATGCATGAGGATGGGCCTCGGGTGGCTAAAATAGCATTTTTCATGAATGATTTGACCAAGGTAATGAACTCCATTTACATTCAAATTTTTAAACCATCGATGACATGATATTTAAGGGTGATTTAGCTAAAAATCTCGACTTTAACATGCTTGCTACTAAAATTTCATTTTTAAGGTCATTAACTTAATAAATTCGAAACTTGCATTTAAACACATGCATGGCTTGATGTTTCTTCATGAAAAATCCTCAAATATCATAAATAAGCTGTGGTAAAAAGATAGGTCTAGCTAAACTTGCTCAAAAATCGAAAATGGCTAGCTAGGGCCAAAGGTGGGCTAGGCGCGACTTTGGGACTTAGGGTGGACTTAGGTTGCGGTTTGCTCGGGCCAATCAACTCCAAAAGGCTTAGAAAAATCTAAGGAACACTTAGATGCTGCTAATCCTCGAGAGATTTTGCTTGGGCAACGCTATGGTGCGGTACTCCTCTCCCCCGGGCTTCACGTGCGCGCGGTAAGGCTAGTGACCCTTGGCTCGGTTTTCTCTCTTATCTTATGAATATGTGCAAGTGTTTAACTAACCAAGATCTCACAAATGCTGAGGATTTGAGTCTTATATAGAGGAGAGGGGCGGAGGATACAATGTGGCTCATGGGAGACCAAAAATGATGCCTTTCTCCACTCAAGGCTCATGGGACTTGTGCATGGTGAAAGGGCACGACTTTGGTGGGTTTTTCAGAGTTTAATGGGGCTGACAAAGTCATAAAATAATGGTGAGAAGGAAGTTCTGGTCGGGGTCAAAGCTTGGGGGACAAGGACAAAGGAATCTTCAATATTTTAATGCAAGGCACATATCCACTGGGCTAATCTCTTGTTGACTTAGGCTAATCTTCATTAGGGCCATTTTATCTTAAACTGATCCTTATTAAGTGTGTAATACACGCATTAAGGGGTCTTGGGTGAAAGTGGGCCGGAACTATGTCATATGGGCTCAATAAGGTGGGCTGCCAAAGCTGGCGCTGGGCTGGGCGCTGGGCCCTGGGCGCGGGGACGCGGGCTGGGCACGAGGGCGCGGGCTGGGCTGCGCGGGAATGACTAGGGCTGAGTAAAATGCTTAGGTTAGGCCTTCAACACTTAGAAAATATTTAGCAAAGGATGATAAGGCTTGGACCAATGCTAAGGGCTCGGTGAATGTGCGTGGGAGCGGCTAATGGCGCGGGTCCGAGGCTCGGTTAGGGCTCGATTTTTAAATGATCAAAACTTAACTTTGGTATTATTATATACTTAGAAAAATATTCCAAGTATAAATTACCAATACTTGGCTAGGCTCGGAATTTTCTAGAAAATAACTCAGAACCGAACTAGGGTTCGTAGTTGATAATTTCTCGAATCGACTTGCTATTATTTAACAACCCAAATTAATGGATTAATCTTAACTTAAACTTGATATAGAATTATTCAAAGAATAATTTACCATATTTGAGCATTTAGCATACTAATTATAACTCGGGAATTTCTGAAAATTTAAGATTTCACTTATAGTCGAGCAGTGAAACCGTTCTTACTATTATTTTCGATTTGGGGCGTTACAACTCCCTCAAATATGAGATCTTCTCCTGCTCCGCCATCGTTGATTACAACCAATTTAAAATGAAAAAGACATATAAAAGCAAAATCAAACTGTTGAATGGATGAATTTGAAAAATATACATCTCGGCTAAGAAAAGAGGAAAAGAGCGAAACGGAAAATGCGTGGGAGGGGCTGCGAGTGTGGGTTTTATGTACGAAGGTGGAGCTGAGCATGAGGTTTGGAGGTTGGTTTGGCTTATTTTTTGAATTACCTTCTAATTTGAATTGAGTGTGGAGAACCCAGTTTCAAAATTTCATTTTCACCTTTTGAGGACGAAGAGCCACAGAGGAAATTGCGAGGAAGGAGGAGAAAAGATATGAAAAAAAATATAAAAAACTGTCACTAATTGCACCATCACTTGTGAGAAAAGATAATAATTATTAGGAAAAAAATTTTGCCATCCGAACTATAAATATTTTCGCTCATCACCATATAAACTTTTTCTTTTGCAAACCACCACCTGAACTATACGGGTTTGTCAAATTATCCTCTAAACCGAATATAAAAGTGGTTTCGACTAAAAAGAGTTGATTTTTAAGGGAATTTTTGTAATTTATACTTATTTTTTGAAAAAATGAAAAAATTTAAGAGCAAATAAAGATAGACCATCTCCGACGAAAGGCGCTGTAGTCCACCACCGTCGTTGCGAGAACAAAGTGGTTCAGCTAATGTGATTGTCAGAGGATGGAAAGTCTACCACCATCGCGAGGAAGGCCATCGTCGGCTGGCTTATCTCGCTTCTCGACCCCAACCACCATGATTCGATTATGGAGTTGGTTGTCGCCACCGTGTCACTGCTCGTCTCCTCCAGCGATTTGGCGTGCGTTCAAGGAGGGTTCCCTCGATCCCCTGCTCAGAATCATCGAATGCGGCTCCATGCTGGTGAAAAAAAAAGCCACCGCAACCGTCAAGTCCATAACTTCCAACCTCGAAAACGCCTAGGCAATTTAAGCTTGTGGCGGCGTAAGTTCTGTTGGGTTCTATTAGGAATGTCACCGATATGCACATTCAAATATATCGAAATATATCCTAACGCAGCAGAATAGTTAGGATTACGATATTACCATTTAAAAATTTTTACCGACTTTGAGGCATTTTTTATTCCCTCCGTAGGAGATCGTCTGAACCGCAAAAAGTCCTTTGTGCAGCCGGACTTAGCCTCCTCGGTTGATTTGGGTCGCCGGGACACGAATGGGTCACCTGGAATTCAAGCGCGTCGGGCGCGGGCTAGTCGCGGCTGGGCTGCTTCGCATCACCGGCATGCGTCTGTAGGGTTGTTACACACATCGAGGAATTGTCCTTTGTCTGGTTTACCTCCTATATCGCAAGAAGAGCTCAATTACATTCCTCCATACTTTTTGTCGTTGGATAGTGCGCCGGAAAATTTTATCGTTGCCGAAGAACATGAAGAAAAGGATGTCATCTTTGAAGTTAAATACCTCGAAGTTATTCTCACTGAATGGATGATTTAAGAGAATTTCTTCAGTTCTGAATATTTAAAAGTTGAATTTGTCATTCCATATGATGAGGAGGCTGCAATCATCGTCATTCAGCTTGAGAGAGATTGTGATGCTAAACTTGGTGATCATGAAGCTAACATGATTCTCTTTTTTGGATTGAGTCCTTACTGGGAGAAAGTAAAACTTAAAAGGATGACAAGATCATCAAAATCATTATTTCGAGTTCCTTAATAGACATATGCGTCTGGCTGAAGACGTTAAACTTAGCGCTTGTTGGGAGGCAACTCAAAGTTTACTGCTTTATATTATTTTTATTTTGTTTTTTTATTTAGTTATATTTTTGTCTGTTTGATATTTTGTTTTTCTTCCTTGTAGAACATTACTTGGAGAGATCTGAATGACGGAGAATATGCTTCAAGATCTATACCAATTTGCCATGTCTTCAATGATGTTTTGTAAGTTTTTCTATTTTACTTTTATTAAAATTCTATTCTTCCCTTTTTGTGCTTCATATAATTTCATTCAAGTTTGGGGGGGAGATGTGATATTTTGATTTGAGAAACTTAGAGAGAAGATAACACGATATCTTACATTATCATGCATATCATTTAGTCGCATGTTAGGTTTTATCGCTTTAGCACGTTTATTGTTTTCTTAGGATTTGAATAGTTGTAGTTGATTGACTTTTATTCACCTTGATGAGTTTCTTGTGCATATTTGATATAGAATTCGGGCATAATGTGCTAAGTGATGGAATTTGAAAATTGATTGAATTGTGTATTTGAATGATTGGTTGATGCTTTTAGTTCATGAACATATGATCCTTTGTGAGCTTTTGAGCCTTATTTTTTTTTCTTTGTTGAGTATATTGTTCATTGTTATTTGAATTCTAGAACTTGCATTGGTACCTTTATCGTGACCACATGGTGTGTGCTTTTTGTGAAAATGATTTAAGGCATATTTTTGTTTGGGCCTTTTCGACCCTTTTAGCTTATCAAATGATATTTTTATTCCCTAGTTAACCATTTTGAGCTTTTGCCTACTTTATTTCAATGCCACATATTGAGCTACATTTATATTTTTTCATGTCTTTACTTGAGCATTTAGGATTATATCATGGGAAGAGGATGAGTTATTGTTTGTGGTTTGGATAAAGGGAAGACGTGAATGGGGGTTTAATTTGATGGTAGAAGTTGAATGAGGTTGATAGATAAAAAAAAATCATAAAAAAAGAAAAAAAAAAGCTGAAAAAAAAACCAACAAAAATCCGAAAAAAAAAGTAAATATGAATAAGTATGTATAGTTGCTTATATTTTAGCATTGACTCAAATAAAACTGGTTTGGTTAGATTTTGGAGTTTCTTATATGGCTTGCGAGTATTGATCGAAATGGAGTATGAAATTATTTTGTTGGGTTTGATCATGATAGTAGGTGATGAATTGGTGTAGTTCATGTTTTGTAGTTCTAGATGCTCAAGTTTTCGTCACTTTACCCATATTTTTCCTATCCTAACCAAAGAGCTTACATTACAACCAAATAAAAAGTCTTTTTTTATTCATGAATTGCATGCACAATAAGTGGTGGAGATAGTAGACGATTTCCAAGCTTATGGTAATTCTTCAACATTGGATTGACTTGAGCGATTATTTACCTATACACTCTGGAGAGTGAGAGTATACACTTATCCGGTGATTAAAGTATTGACCATGATTTTGATGAAGCATTCTTTATGTTTAAAAACTCCGGAACGTAGTTATGTTATTTGTCTGATGCTTATTGAGAATGTGCATGATTGACTTTGAGAGTTGTGATTGTTTTTCCTTGTGTGTTGGTAGGAGTTTGATGCATTGATCGGGACTATCAATGGTTTAAGTTTGGGGGTTTGTTCATGTGTGATTTTACACCATATTTATATAGTATCTAGAGCTTATTCATTGCATTATTGGTATATAAATTACATTATTGTGCTTTAAATTCTATTCTTATTGGAAAGGTATTACAAGTGCTTGTTTTGTAGATATTTTCACATATTTGTAGAGCTTGTGGCTATTGGAGGCCCAAGGTGAGTACCTAAGACCCCCAGGATGATGAAAGATTGATGCACAGATGAAAAAAATAGAAGAAACAAGTGAATACCACTCTCTAAAACCCACGTTCTTCTCCCCCAAATTCTGAATGAAAAAACGCCGTTGTCCTCCATTCCGCCGCCTTCCACTTGGCTTTGGGGACCCGCCGGCAGTCGTCCCCTGGCCGCTCGTCCCATTCCGTTGTTGCAGCTTCCCTCGCCTTGATGTGCAATTGACTGAAGTTCACCCAAATCCACGCCGTTTGCTCCGGCGCTGCGGAAAGGCGATGGTACTGCCCTGTTGCTCCGGTGCGGGGGTTCGGTGATGGAGCGGCTCAAGTGCTGTTTGTGGTGCTGCTCTGTCTCTGTTTCTCGATCGTTGACCATCGTAGAGCTGCGGTGGGTTTTGGACGAGGTGAGGCTCTATGGGAAGGGGTCGGGTGCGGCTCTAGAGGCTCACGGCTTACGGCTGGAGTGGCTAGGGCTGCTTCTATGGATCTGCTCCTCTCTCCGATTCTCTGGCGCTGGGCCCAGGGGTTCTTGCTGACTCATACCGAGTTGCTAGTGTTGTTAGTCGGATCGACACTGTGGAGGCTGGGTACCCTCTCTGGCGCGGGGCCTGGAGTGTTTGTTGTTGGTATTGAGTTGCTAGTGGTGTTAGTCGGCTCGATATTGCGGCAGTTGGGTGTTTTCTGGACTTAGGGAGAATTGTCCTTTTAGGGGTATTCCGATGCTTGGGATTCGGCTCAGCTAGGCGATTTAGCAGTGGAGGGATTGGCCTTCTCGTGCTAAGGGATTCCTCTGGGGACGATTTGGTGATTGCTAGTCTGTCTCGAATTTGCTTTTGTGGAAGGGCTTGAGTGTTTTTATATTTCATTGTTTAGTTTTTTTGTTGGTTAGTTGTGTTTGTGTCGTTTAGGTTTCTGTATTTTTGGTTTGGACCGTTGGCCCCAGTGAGCCCGAGTGCCACAATTATTATCCTGTTGGGATCAGGCACTTGGGTATTATCCTGGTGGGATCTTTATAGTTTTTTTTGTGATTTGTTGTGTTAGGTGTCTAGTGAGTCTTGATTTAGGTTTCTAGAGTTGCTAGTGTCGGGATTCTAGGCGGTCGTCAGACTTGTCCTCCCATTTTTATTCAGCTTTTGGTTGCTATTCACTTTGTATTTTTATTCGCACTTTGTGCATTTTGGTTTTTAATGAATCCTCTATCGTTCCGGAAAAAAAAAAAAAAAAAAAAAAAAAAAAAAAAAAAAA